AGGAAGCCCCATCTTGCCCTGCCCCTAGGAAGTTACCTGTGACGCCATCTTCCCGCCCCTGGGAATTTACATATGGCGCCAAACCTAGGACCAATGGGCTACCTGTGTATCCCTAATGCCCGCCTTAGGTTCCACCCCAAACCGAGGTTATTTACAGGCCCCCACGCCGCGTGTCCGCCGGAGAGATCGCCGGACGCCAGCGGTGGGGTGCCGGTCATCTCTCTCTGTGTTCTCAGAATAAAGGCCGCTTTTTATTTTACATTTCTCATCTTTTGTTAATATTTTTCATCTTTTGGAAATAACTCTATCAATAATAGGGAATCAATAATGGCGACCATAATGTATCTTGTTTAAAAAAATCTTACCTGTGGGGGCTGGGGGCTTAGCTCAGCGGTTTAAGCGCCTGCCTTGCAAGCAGGCAGTCGTGAGTTCGATCCCTGGTACCGATAAAAAAGACCAAAAAAATCTTATCTGCAAAATAGCTGCCGTACCATCAGATATAATAAAGTCAAACAATAACACCAAACAAAACAGAACAATGAGAATGATCTGGGGCTTCAAAACAAGATAATAGGAAATTAACAAGAGCTACCACCTTCCCTTTTCAGATGTTACCTCCCTTTAACTGTCTTATACATTTTGGATCCCATTAACTCCTATAGCTTTTTATACTAGGGAGACAACATGATGTCCACCTATGTGAATCCAAACCACTTCATTCATGAGCATGATCTCAAGTTGCACCCATTTACCTACAAGAGCCTCTTGATTATCCTCTATAGCTGAGTAGGTTTCCATTGTATAAAAATTCTGTATCTCCTGGCTAGGGGTTTAGCTCAGTGGCACAATGCCTGCCTCAAACACAAGGTCATGAATTAGATCCTTGCTACAAAAAAAAAAAAGAAAGAAAGAAAAAGATAAAGCCATATCTCTCTTATCCGTTCTGCATTTGAGGGGCAAGCAACCCCGCTTTGTTCGATTCCCTGTCTCATGGAGCATTGTTTTCTCTCCTTTGACTTTCAGTTAGAATTTCCTTTCAAGTGAAGTGTTCTTGTATACAACATATTAATGGATCCTTTTCCTTGATCCACTCTGCCTGTGTTTCTTTTTATTGGTGAATTGAGGCTATCTACATTAATGTTTATGGCCAGCATCACTGGTTCATCTCTGCTTTACTATTTTCCTGCTGTTGGCTCCCTACTTTTCCCCTCCATTCAACTGTCTGCCCCACTCAGTGATCCCACTCTGCTGCTGTTCCTGGAACTGTGGTCATTTTTCTAAAATTTCTTTTAGTGTTTTTTGTAGGACTTGGTGATCATGTATTCCTTCAGCTGCTTTTTGTCATAGAAGTATCTTGTTTCTCTATTAATTTTGAAAAAGATAGTTTTTCAGGGTACATCAAATTGGGTTGGAAGTTGTTTTATTTCAGGACTCCAAATACTTCAAGCTCTTCTTGATAGTTTGTGTTGAGAAGTCTGTTGTGATTCCCATTGGTTTTCCTTTATATGTGATGTTTCTTTTCTCTAACAGCTGTTAATATTCTGTTCTTGTGCTGAATTTCTGGGATCTTGATTATTATATGTCTGAGTGTAAATTTATTTTGGTTTTGGCTAATCCTGTACACTTCACTTCACTTATCCATATGTCAGGTCCTTTTCCCATGCTTGAGAAGTTTTCTGCTATTACTTCTGTAAATATTTTTGTATATCATTTGTATTGATCCCTGCCTTTTTGCTATCACCTGTCAGTCTTAAATTATTCTTTGCATTGTCTTGCAGCTGCTGAATTGTTATTTTCTGGTTCCTTGTTATTTTTAAGAGATCTTTCCTTTTGCAATTGCTAGCTGTAATCCTGTCTTCAGGGTTTAAGAGTCTGTCTTCAGGGTCTAAGAGTCTATCTTCAGTTTTTTTAAGTGGTTTTGCTAGCTTTCAATGAAGCTTTTAATTTCCTAGATATCTCAATCGGTTTCATGCATTTCAACTTTTCCCTCTATTGCTCATTCAGGGTTTCCCTCATTTTCCTATGCTTTTTTTTTTTTTTTTTTGGTACCAGGGATTGAACTCGCAGCCTCACACTTGCCAGGCAGGTGCTTCTGCCACTGAGCTATGTCCCCAGTCTCTCATGTCTTCTTTCTTCTTTCACTTGAGATAGTATTTCTGGTCTGATTTCTTTCACAGCCTCATGAAGTAGCTTCTTCACCTCAGTTGCCATCATTCATCCCAGAAATTTCCCACGTCTCCTGAGCCTGTTCTGTGTAGGCTGGAGGCCAGCGCCTGCCCCATGCTCCCCTGTCCCAACACTCTCCTGGTCTCCTCCAGACGAGCCAGCTGTGGGTCCCAGGTGCCTCCTGCACTAATTATATGCCCATGGTGTAGGCAAATGGCTCAGGCACCTGGGTTTCTCTTAACCCAGGTTCCTGGGCAGGCAGTGGGGGTGTGGCTTCTCTGAGGTGTGTCTGGCTGGTTCTCTTGACCCACGCTGGCTACAGGTTCCTGATGGTGGCCTGCAAGCATGTAGGAATGGCACTGGCTACCTGTGGAAGGGTCCCAGTGATGGCCTGTGTGCACAGGGGTGCAGGGCTACTTTTTTTTGAGACAGTATCTCGCTATGTAGTCCAGGTTGTCCTTAAACTCACTATGTCCATCTAGGCTGGCATCAAACTCATGGCAAGCCTCGCCCTCAGCCTCCCAACAACTAGAATTACAGATGTGCATCACTACACCCAGCTCGTACTGAGTTCTAGAAAAGTGAGAAAAACTAGGTGCAGTGGTACTTGCTTGTGATCCCAGCTATTAAGGAGGCCGAAGCAGGCAGATAGTGAGCTCAAGACTAACACAGGCAACTTAAACCCTGTCCCAAAATTAAAAAGAGGGCTGGGGGTGGGGGTGTAGTTCACTGACTTGCCTGCATGCACAGAACCCTGGGTACAATCCTCAAAATGCAAAAGTAAAATGAATTAACCGGTGACGACCCTTTTTTGGGACAATATGGCGAAGGAAGAGAGAGGTCAAAAAGTGCCATTTAAAGTTCACAAAACATGACACAGGATGGGGTTGGAGAGCTTTAGGATCTAGCTAGAAGATGCTCTCCATTCCTGAACTGTGTATTAAACTGTTTCTATCCTAATAAAGCATACAGTTTGCACAGTACGTCCCTTTGCTCCCATCAGCACATATTGGTACTGGGTTTTATCTCCCCGCTCCATCCAGCTCACACCTGTCTCCTCCTGTCTCTTCTGTCCCCTCCAAAATAACTCAGATAAACATGTGATACACTTCATCATCCTCACCATCCATCGTCTCCAGAGAATGTTTAGGGATTAAAATCTGTTTGCTAAGTCAGGCATGGTGGCACACACCTGTGATAGCAGCCCTCTTTATAAGCTGAAGCCGAAGGATCCCAGGTTTGAACCTAATCTGAACAACTCAGATTCTGTCTCGAAAAGGGCAAAGGGCCAGGCATGAGGGGACAGGGGGATATACTATAGCAATGATGACCAGAGACAAAAATCATCTCTTTGCATGACAGAGGACAGACTGGAAGAGGACCTGCGGTGATACAATGAAGCCAATGAATGTCGTCAAAGCCCCGCTGGGCTAGGACTCAAATGGTGACAGTGGATTTGGAGAGAAGTAGAAAGGTGTGAGTAGAAAGGAAAACTGGTAGACTTTGTATGGAAAACAAGGGAGAGTGAAGCAATGGCAGAGGGCTGGGTGAACTTTCAGATGTGGGCTTTTCCAAGACTGAGGGTAGAGCCACTTATTAAGAACACTTGGATGAGCACAGAAAATCAGGGAGAGGGGCACACTAAGTCATGAGCTTGATTTTAGATCTAAGTTGGAAGTGTTAACCAGACCCAAGCAGGATGTGACATCTATGGTTCAAGAGTCTCCAAGAGTGGCCTGGGCTGTAGAAGAAATGCAGTCATTGTAGAATAGTACAAATCAATGATGTGTTTCTAAGTTAGCTACCAGGGAGAAGACAATGGACAAATAAAACAAGAGGGCCAAGGATCAGGTCTGAAGAAATGCTGTTCAAAATTTTTTCCACTCTTTTCACTATATTGGTAATTCCTTTTACTGTACAAAAGTTTTTATTTTTTGGTTTTTTTGGTGGGTATCTTCCCTAAACAATTAAAATCGTACTACAGTGATACACACACACGTGCACCCATGTTTATAGCAGCGCAGTTTATAGCTAGATCTTAGAAACACCCTAAATGTCCATTGACTGAGGGATGGATAAAAAAGATGGCATTTCGGGGCTGGAGATTTAGCTCAGTGGCCTAAGCGCCTGCCTTGCAAGCAGGCAGTGAGTTCGATCCCTGGTACCGGGGGAAAAAAAAAAAAAAAAAAAGATGTGGCATTTTCATACAATGGAGTACTACTTAGCCATAAAGAAAGATAAACTGGATGCACCTTGAGAACATACTCATTAGTGAAATAAATCAGACACACATGTAAGTATCAGCTGGGCTGTGATCTTTGTCACTGTCCTTTGGAAGCTCAGGTATAAGGCAGGGCAGACTGAGGTCTGTGACCCCAGTTGGGGGTGAGCTTAATATCCTGAAGATCCTTCTTGAGAGACTCCCCTGTTCCCAACAAAGGAAAGGAAACCTGATCCTGAAAAGTACCCTAACACATCTCTACAAGGGGCCTTCCTCCAATCAGCCCAGGGCTGAGTGCTTACCTCTAGGGTGTGTGCCTGCCCTGCAGGTACTCAAGGCAGCTGTCACACACATTAGATGTGGGCTTTAGCTGTAGTCCCATTTTCTCATCCGTGGCCAACGACACCCAATTAAGCATCCGAACACAGTGCTGATGGGCCAGTGGTCTCTAGTTCAGGACCATTACAGTCCAGCCTGTCTCCGACTTTCTCCTGTTCTAGGGCACACACCCTCTGGGTACTAAAAGGACTGGTGTGGGCTTCCGTTCAGTGCAAGCCTACCCTCCATTCTACACTCATCTCCCTCAAAAAGCAGCAGCCTGCTGGAGGCAAAAGAGATTTTGCAGTACTTTTAATACACAAAACAAAGAGGCCAGCTAAGTGACCAGCTTTCATTCCACATCCAGAGCTCGAGTACAGACCCAGACCCCCTGGGAAATAAGTTACAGTTCACAGGGCGTTAAAGCTGAGAGCAGGAAATGCTACTCTACTGGCAGCATGGGTGTAAGGATTTTCTGATGATGAAAGGGTGAAAATAAATGCTTCCGAAGTTAGGCAGGAACCCAGTCTTCAAGAAGGAAGGTGAAGTGGCTGATGGCAGGAAAAGCCCAGCCCACTCTGCAGGAAGACAGGAAGGGCAGCTGGTGCGAGTACCTCCTCACTGGGCACCATGCCCATCATACAGTGTGTCACCTGTGATGCCCTCCGCTTCCTCAGATGCCTTGGCACTCCAGATAAAGCCAGCCAGCGACACAAGACAGTTCTCAGGAGTTCTGCAAGTCAGTCTCTGTGCAGTTTCTCCGACTTCTCCTGGGCTCCGCTGCTCTGTCCTGCTCCTCCCAACCCCAGCCAGCCTTCTCAGTGCATGTAGGCCTTCGGCTGCTCCATGGCCTGGTGTGCCTGCAGCACTGCCACCGCCTCTTCTATCTGTGGGACATACATCGGAGTTTAGTGCAGTTGCCCCCGCAGGCTCCCAGGAGAACCGTGACCTCCCCGACTCAGCATACAAGATGTGAGGAGTCTCTGCCCTTGGTAGAGACGTCTGAAGTATCTGTGTCGGACCCTCGCCCACTGCTGCTTACAGGATCCCATGCCCCACTGTCACTTCAAGTTAGAGGTTCACTGCTGGAGACCGGAAGAATCTGAACCTTTATACTGAGTCAAATGCAGCTGCTTTTACCAACGCTTTGTCTATGGAGTGACCCAGAGTTAGTCTGTGGAGGGGCTGAAGTAACAAAGCCTCTTCCACTCCACTGAGCAGGCCTTCGGGTATTACTAAGAGCAAAATCCACTTCATTTGTCCTAGCATGACTAAGGACAGCCCTGTCCTTAGGTCTTCTGCTGCCCTACCTACCTTAGCTTGGAGGGACTCTGGAGATTCCAGCATGAGCAGCAGGTCTGAATTGTCGATCTCTAGCAGCATGCCTGTGATCTTGCCAGCCAGCGAAGCGTAAACCTCAGGGATAAGATGATAGAGACGCTCCCCTGTGTGGAACAACCCCTGATTGCTATGCACACATCTGGCTCACACCCCGGCAACCCAGGAGTGGCACCATAAAGAGCAGTGAGGACATACGGGTTCTTGTCCCAGAACCACTGGTTTGTGTCACTAAACCTTACTGGGATTATGAAGTAGGCAGAGCAAACACCACTTTGAGAACTGTTTGAAGAAATTTGTATGGCACAGTATCAGACACAAAATCGTGTTTAAAGATTACTCTTGTGTACAAGCATAATTGTGAATGCCTGTGATCTCAGGTACTAGGGAACCAATACAGGAAAGACTAAGTTCAAGACCAGGCTGGGCAACGTGCTGAGATCTCATCTCGAACAAAAAACAAGTACAGTGAGCACAGTATTAAAAAACAAAGACTATTCATGTCCATTTTTCAAGAAACAATTCTGACATTAATTCTAGACAGGATAGAACATGAGACTTTTCAAGAAGGCGGTAGTGAAAAATATATAAAATAAACTCACATCCCACCATGAAGTTATTTCTAGCAACAAGGCCGCTTGTTGGTATCAACCAGCCTTGGCAGTGTATGGCGGGTTCAGCCAGGATCAAGCCCTTAAATCTGGAGTGTGAGGGGGTCTTCCCAAGAGGAGAATGGCAGTATTTACAGAGAACTGCTAACAAAACTTTTTACCTCTGAGGCCAGGGATATGGCTCAGCACCACAGTGCCCGCCTGGCAAGTATGAGGTTGTGAGTTTGATGTCTGATACCAAAAAAAAAAAAAAAAAAAATCTACCTCTATTATGTTCTTTAAATTTTTCTTTGGCGGTGGGGTGGGATGGAATGGATGCAAAGTGTCAAAACCCTAATGAAGCAAGCTGAGAGAACAATGGTGTGGTGCCATTAAGGGCCTTTGCAGAAGGGCCTGGAGATCTGGGTGGCTATGCAGTAAAGAACCTGACCGAGGAACAAGCCTGCTCCTTTATTCACAGTTAGCATCTTTAGCAAGACCCGTCTCAAAATCTAAGGATGGAAATGAGCTGCACAAGGAATTCCCATATTTATCTCACGTACAGATGTTTCATACTACCCTGAGGTAGGCACTAGCAGACAGGGGACATTTGACAAAGCTTCCTCTGGTTAGGAGAGGTGTAAAGACTTGTAATACCCAACTCCAGCCTTACCCTTATTCAGCTGCCCGGCCCTGACACAGCCCCACATCCAGGCATCTCTCACCTACATCAGAATCACAGAATGGCAGAGCTGGAAAGAGCCTTAGGATTATTAGCCTGACCCGTGTTTTAAAACAAGACAACAGGAGCCTCAAGAGTCGAAGTGGCCTGGGTAAAGTCGCCCAATAGCTTTGTCAGTAACAAAAACCAGGCTTCATCTTCACATCTGACCTTACTCAGGGTGCTCCTAACAGGTGGGCCAGTCCCCGGCCCTGCTTCCCTGGCCAGCAGAGGGATCACTCACCAATCATCTGCTTTTGCTCATGGAGCGGAGCTGCAGCCAGCATGGATGCGGTCAGGGGCTCCTGGCCAGGGACGTGCACGGCAGGCTCCGGGACCTGCAAATGGTGCCAGGGACACATCCTTTAACCACATGGATGGGAATGGTCTCCAAACACTTACTCTGGAGAGGGGTCTGGGGGACAAAGTCCCCACATGAATTAGAAGTAAAAAACAGTCTCTAGGCATTCTCTGAACCCATACAGACCCTGATGAACCTTGCCAAATGAAACCTATACACGCTTCGTACCAAACAAAACACTTTATCAGGCAGCTTCGTGGAAACATCCCCAGCACACTCTTGACTCTTCTAAATCTTAGTAACTTTAAAAGTGTTTTTGCTGTTTAAAAATTACTCTTGTTCATTCTGTAAGAAATAAATCAAACTAGACACACTGAAATTCTAATAATGCTGAATTTGAGACTTTTTTAGACAAGGAGATGCAGTCTTTCATTCACTGTAAGATGTTTAGTTCTATTTTGAAGCCTAATTACATCCATCACTATTCAGCTTTTTTTTTTTTTTTTTTTTGAGCCAGGGTCTCACTATGCAGTTCAGGTTGGCCTTGAGCTAACTTTATAGCTCAGGTTGGTCTTGAATTTGCAATGATCCTCCTGCCTCAGCCTCCCAAGTGCTGAGATTACAGGTATGCCCCACCAAAACTAGCATGCATATTCTTAAAATACCTTCTCCCTTGCTGCTCAATAAAAACACTAAAGAGGTTCAAATTAATTTTGGTAATAACCTATGCAAAACAATTCATAATCAGTAAAGAAATTGTGACATTGGCCTTTCTATTCTGTTAGCAAGGTTGATATTTCATAACTGTACACATTGGTAAGGAAAATTTTATAAGCTAAGAAAAAGAAGAAAACCAAGGACCAAAAAGCTAACACCTTAACCAAGGTTCTGGGCCAAGACTTCCAGAGTCCATGGGCCATATGTGTAATTGGCCATCCTTACCCCATGGGCAATATGTACAGTTGAGGAACACGTGCATGGCAGGAGAGATGGCCCTTCCGTAGAGCATGCTGCCCTGCCCATAGTCTGGGTACCAATGTTGGCTGTAAAAAAGAAGCAGAGTTTAATGGCTCCTATCAAAAATACAAAACACAAAATCACAAGTGTAGGTTAGAACAGAAAGAAATTGAAACACTTGGGCACTGTGGGAAATGTAAATGGTACAGCCACTACAGGAAAAAAAATTATGAGCCTTCCAAAAGGAAGAAGATTCTAACTCAATGCAGAGCATCAGTGAATCTTACGGACATTGTGGCATGTGAAATAAGCCAGTCACAAAAAGACAAGTACTGTAGAGTGGTGGTTGCCAGAGGCTGAAGGGATTTAGTGGGTACAGAATTTCAGTTGTGCAAGACAAAGGATATTTTCAAGATGGGTATGCTGATGGTTTGCATAAAGTGTGAACCTACTAAATGTCACTGAACTAGTATACTTAAAAATGGTTAAGTGGTAAATTTTACATGTATTTTACCAAAATTAAAAAAAAAAAAAAAAAAAAACCCAGGAACGTCAGAACCTGACAAGCAACCTCCTATCAGGGATTGTACCCAACTCTTTTGTGTGTAATTCCCCATGCCAAGCACAGAGCAGCACAAAGACATGAGATCTGCTGAATGAGGGAGGAGACGTGCTTGCCTTTGAGCCAAAATCTACACCCTCGGTCACAACTGCCATAATACTTCCTAAGGTTCACGTCCTGGCATGAGTGATCTCAAAAGTTCTCACAATGAAGTGACTGCCCCATTTTTAGGGTGATCAGAGATGAGTTGGCAAAGGCTACAGAGTGGGTGAGTCTCAGGAGCTGGAGGCCAATCCAACATGCAAAGCCTCCAAAGTCAAGCTGGCTCACCAACAAGGCAAGTCACTCCAAGGCCAGTCCTGACTCCTCTCCAGCGGCAAGCCCAGCAACAAGACCTTGCCCCACCCTCCTCTGACCCCCATTCCTCTTCCCTGCCCACACTCACCCACTTTCTTGGTGTGGGGTGCCAGGTGTGGCACCTGCGTAGAGGCCTGCCTGACACTGCTGACATTGGCCTGGGGGCGCCGAGGCAAGCCTGGTGGCCGAACCACTGAGGCAGCTGGAGGGCAGACAGCTTGTGGCAGAGAAAAATGGAGAGAGAAAGGTTGTGGCAGTGGTAATCAGAGTGGCAAAATACTCGGAAGGTTTCAGGGCTGGAAAGGGCAACTAGAAATTCATGGCAGAGAGATGGGTGAATTCAGCTAGAGGGGGAATACAGAAATCTGCACTAACAAACCCAGTCCGTGTCTGCCCAGAGTCCCAAGATGCATAAGAACTAAGACCGTATACTTAGTCCTAAGTATAAGTGAGTGTGAACTTGGCTTTTATATAGAAAGGGTAGATATCACCAAAATAACCAGAGAGTTTCAGTTTCTCAGCTTTATGTGACGTTTCAGCCACAAATCAAAAGTCTTTGGAAATACACGTAATGGCCACCCCACTTGGCCTATAGGTTTGGCCCTGGGCCCAATGTTTTATGCACAGGCCCATGAGCAAAAGAGGAAACTGTGGTTCAGAAAGGCAAAGTGATCCATTCAGGAAATGGCAGAACTATGCTTGGCTCCTGTGTTATACACTGCCTCTCAGAGCCCACACTCACGGCTGGGCTGAGGGTGGAACGGGTCAGTTTACTCACTCGAAGGTCTCTGGGGCTGGGCTGTCCACCTGGGGGCAGGCTGGACGGGGGCCACGGAGCCAGAGTTGCCACAGCAGGGAGCCTGTGCTGGAGGCTGTGTGGGAGGAGAGGACAGAATGAGGAGCTCTGCAGCAGGCTAGGGAGGGAACTGCACTCCCTCAGGGACAGCACTGCACACCTCCACCTCCCCTGCAGGAGACAGGCTAGACAAGGCCTAGGAAGCTGGCATGCAGGCTCCTTCCTCCCATCTCAGGGTGCTCATTAGCCCTGAACCCTTCAGAGTGATGTCAGATTTCAATCCTTGTTCCTATCATCCAGTGGCCTAGATTAACAAGGTGACACATTCTATTCTAGTGTGTGCCAACTCAAGCTTACTGCTAAAGGAGAGGGAAGATTACCAACCCAGCAGCCTGCAGGGGCTTACGCGTTCCCAAACTGTGCTCAGCGCACTAACCACCAAGGGAGATATTAATGGGCATCCCCCCCAAATGACCATCCCAGTTGGGAAACACTACATACCCCAGGCCTGTTGAGAAGAGTTATCATAAAACAGGAACATCAGCAGAGGCCATTGATATAGTAAAGAAATTTAAGATTCCTCTTATTTAATGCAAAATCTCCCAAATTTGTTTGACCACACTCTTTTTCTGCACAACATTCAGGAATCTTTCCCAGACTAGAAGATGCTGATTGACAGCACATGTACCCATCTCTTTACAGATGGGGACACTGAGGCTGGAAAGCCTGTCTAGCGAGTTTCAGCACTGCCTACTTTTGCCTACGAGGCTCCCATCTCCCTGTGAAGCTGTCTGGAGGAGGTGGGCAGGAGCTACGGGCAGACTAGACTGTCACCTGGGCCCCAGTGGGCAAGAAGTAGCTGTTGGGCTGCTGAAAGGAGCCCAAGACAGGGCGGCTCAAGGCCTGCACTGTGGAGAGGCGCTTCATGTACTGGTTGGTCAAGATGGCCTTCCGCTCCTCTTTACGCTGGGCCAGTGCCACATACAGTGGCTTGGTGCCCACGATACATCCATTCATCTCTGTCACAGCCTTTGTCGCTTCTTCTGGAGAGGAAAAACACACAAAGCCAAATCCCTTGCTGTGGTCACCCTCTGTCATCACCTAAAAGCAAGACAAGACAAGGGTTGCTGGGGGTGGAGAAGGAAGCTCCAGGGCTGTGCTCCCCTCCTTCCTGAGGACTGAACCCCACAGCTAGCAGACCCATGAAAAATCCATGAGTGGTGTCCACTCCAAGTTTACTGAGGCCCACGGGGTGCCGGACACTTCACATGCCATCCCAGCTCACACATGGCCTCCTTATAAGGGAAGTACATTGGTCCCCACCTTCTCGGAGAGGGAAGGGAGCCTCAGGAGTGACTTGCCCACCAGGTGCAAGGGTGCACACTTATAATCCCAGCTCACGAGGCTAAAGCAGGAGGACTGCCGCGAGTCCAAGGCCAGCTCAGGGAACATAGTGAATTCAAGACCAGCAAGAACCACACATCGAGACCTTGTCTGAAAAGAGTGACTTATACAAAGTCAGCCAGCCACAGGCTCATACACAGCCAGGACTTGGCTGCCAGGGTCTTTGGTAGTCTGGGGAAGCTGTTCTCAGTCTTACTAACTTAGTATTGTTGGGAATGACTTTAAACTTACTTAAACATTACAAAAACAGTACAGAGAGCTGCTGTGAATCTTTTACCCAACCCCCCCTGATGTTAACATGGTACGGTTGTCAAAACTACAACAGGAACCCTGGGGCACGCTGTTAACTATTCCACACGAGCACCTATTAACCAGTGTTCTACCTCAACTCCAGACTTCATCCAGATTTCATTTTTAAAACCAGTATCTTTTTCTCTTCAAGGATTAGAGCCATACTGCACTTGTAACCTTTCTCAGGGTCAAGACACTGGCCTGATTCACACGCTAGAAAGACCAGAGCTTTTTTATTTACCTCCTGCCCCCTCAGAAGCCACGTTCTGAGTTTCAAACTGCTGCTTCTCAGCATACCTGAAGGTCCACACGTCCCTTTCAGGGGTATCACTGATAAAATTCAGGGGTCTGTCAATGGAAAAAACTGACACCTTCATTTTCATACTAACATTTCCTTCTATTATGAATATGGACAACAACAAAAATCAGTTGTATTAGCCTTATCTATAACTGTCAAATAAAAATCAAATACTTTCATGTCATTGCTGATCTCAAAATATTATTTACGCTACCTGCTACTTTGATAGATCTCATTTTAATGTATTAAAGTACTACTGTTGCTTAGTACTGAATTATATTTCAATATAATTTATTTTTTATTTTTTTGGTATTGGGAATTGAACTCAGGACCTTGTGCTTACCAGGCAGGTTGTATCACTGAGCTAAATCCCCAGCCCTCAATTTTTTAATAATAGTATTAATTTTATGTATTTAAAAATATTCATAGAAGGGTTCCACAATCTCACTAGATAGCCAAAGAAGTTCTGATACAAAAATATGGTTAAGAACTATTAAGACTTTTTAGTACATGCCAGGCATGGTAGCTCACACCTACAATCCCAGCACTCTGAGTCTGAGGCAGGAGGATTGCAAGTTTTAAGCCAGCCTGGGCAGTTTAGAAAGACCCTGTCTAAAATAAAAAATAATAAAGGGACCAGGGGTGTATCTCAACAAAAGACTCACATTCAATCCCCAGTATGGGAAAAAAAGATAATAAAATTAGTAACGATAACAGTTATGCTGAACTGAATCTGGGCTTGCTAGTGGTATATAACAGTTAATTTATAATAGAAAATATATAAAAGTCCCACCTTATTACATGGTGGCTTACTGAAAAGATTATAACCCCAGGTGAGCCTCAACTCTGAGCAGTCCAAACTTACACTGTCCCTGTATTCAAGGAATCCTCAAGGTCAGTTAATCTCTCGAAATTACATGCGCTATGCGGCAAATAAACACAACAATCAATATCCCAATGCCTATAATACGCCAATGCTCCACAGGCAGCCTGCTGGGTAGTGGCGCTATTTCTACTGCACATGGGGGTACACAGAAAGACAGTCACTACCACAGGTTCCAAGCTAGGAAACGGTGCAACTGGGATTTAGATCAACTCAAAGACATCAGCTTTCAACCACAGCACTATGCCACATGCATATACTTACTGGAAAGAGGGCCTGTGGACTTTTATCATGCTAAATCAAATTTACTCAGTCCTGTAACTTTCTATCATATTTGTCAAAAGGCTCATAACCCAAAAAAGCATAAGTGATTTCATAAATACCAGGCTTCCTGCAGGAAATTTAAGATTCAACAGACAAAAGGGGACATCCTGACCAGTTCTTAAGAGCCCAGCCATCACATCACATGTGCTGGTCCAGCCTCGTCTATCGCCCACATGCATCTCTTTGCAAGATTCCTACCAGTGGCTCCCTAGCTCCTCACAGCCAAGTCAAACACTGGTACCACTCTCACTTCCTCCAGAGAGCCTCCCCTCCTATCGCACTGAGATCCCAAAGCTCTACCCCCAGTTCTGCTCCACTCAATGGTCTGACTTTCTCAATAGATTATAAGCTCCTCAAAGGTAGGGACCACATTCAATCTGTCTGATTCATTGTTGCAGGCTTCCCACAAAGCCTTGTACAAAATGAATAAATGCTCACACTCCCGTTTGGTTTTGGTTTTTGTGGTACTGAGGGCAGAGCACATACTAGGTAAACATTCTACCATTAAGCTTCAACCCAGGCTCTTGTGTATGCATGCTAGGCAAGCACTCTACCACTGAGCCACATCCCCAGCCTTTTAATTTTGAGAAAAGGGCTCACAAAACTGCCTAGGCTGGCTTCAGACTCTTGTTCTTCCTGCCTCAGCCTTCCAAGTGACTAGGACTACAGGCATTTGCCGCAGCACCTGACCAATATTATGTTATCTTAAAAAAGATATCTGGGGAATTTTGGGGGTATTTTTGCTTTGTTTTGAATTTTGGGAGTTTTTTTGCTTTGTTTTGTTTTTTTGAGACAGGGTCTCACTCTGCAGTTCAGGCTAGCCTTGAACTAACTATGGAGCCCAGGCTGGCCTCAAACTCACAGCAACTTCCTGCCTCAGCCTCCCAAGTGCTGGGATTAAATGTGCCACCATGCCTGACTTCTGGGGAATTTTTAAAGGAAAGCACCTGGGCCCGACCCCTAGAGGTCTATACTTGGACCCAAGTAACCACAGTGAAGAAGTCCCTGGAGAATTCAAATGAGAAGCCAGGGTTGGGAATCAGGCAGTAAGCCTAGTGCTCTCAGTTTTGCTATGAGGCTCAGAAGACAGCTCAAGGTCTCGAGCTGCAGAGTAAAGCAGCCAGGAGTTACACCTCAGGTGCTTCACAGGGTTGAGCACATAGTTGGTGCTCAATAAATGGTAAAGAATGATGCAGCCCAGCTCTTATTTCTCAGAAGGAGAAACTAATGGCCTAGAAGGGGTTATGTCACTGGACAAGGCCAGACAACAAAAGTCCACACAGATACTGAGACATAAATGTCTGGAACCTGGCCTATAGTAGATACTGGCCTCTATGGCTTCTTTCTTCCCCTCTACCCAGACAAGGCTGTAACCAGAGAGACTCTGAGCTCTCATGGGGTCATGCAGAACTCTAAAAAAGAGGACCTCAGCACCCCCCTCCCTGGAAGCCAGGTCAGAGGCTGGTGGGGACAGGAGAAAGAAAGGCTACCCCAGGAAGTGCTGTGGCCCTTACCTTTGCACTGGTAATCACTCCGTAGGGAGAGAATACAGTCCTCAGCTTCTCATCACTGATGGAGTCGTCCAGGTTCTTCACATACAGGTTCACACCCTGTAGGAAGGGAATACTGCTCCGTGGAACCATCCCGCAAGCCCACTGCCTTGGGCAGGCCAGGGGCTGTGACAGCCAGGAGGGATACTGAGCAAGCTGCCAGCCCAGCTTGTAGTGCACCCCAATCTCTCTATACACTGACAGCCGGAAGCTGCAGCTCACGGCCGGCCCTCCAAGCCCCTGGCAGTTTTTACACACGTGCACAGTTCCCAGTCACTGCTCAAATCACCATGGAAAAAGACCTAAGTCCCGCAGCAAGCTGAAGCTCAGAGGTCAGCTGCAACGCAGCTCTCCTGAAGGAATGCAGCATGCAGCAGCGCAGAGGCCCCCGCAGGCCGGCTCCAGACCTGTGCCGGATGTAGGCAAGCTGCCACTCAGTGTCTCATGCATTACCCTCGCCTGGAACCAGGTACCATTCCAAGCTCTTTTACACATTTAATGTGTGATCCTCACGACCACAAGAGGAGGAAATGTTAACCCTCAGTTTTCAGATGGCAAAACTGAGGAACATGTTAGGTGCACTGTCTCAGATCAAACAGACAGCAAGTGACAATGACACAGCTAAGCCAGGCAGCCTGACCTCAGCTCAGGCTCCTTGCCACCGAATGACAGCTGCCTCCTGGGCCTAGATGTCCTCTCCTCCTTTACCTCCCCAGCACGAAAGCATGTGAATACATAACAGAACTTAGACTACCCAGCTGGACAACTCAATATCCTGCTCACTCTATGACTACACACTGAATACTTTCTTCTCCAAGTCCATAAAAGTTAAAAATGTTACACATGCACAATGGTGTGTTTGTGTGTACATACAAGGGTTTCTCAACCTCAGCATTAGTGACCTTCCATGTCATTCCTGTTGCAGGGGTTGCCCTATGCATAAGATACTAGCCAGAATCCCCGGCATCTACCCAGGAGGTGCCACATGCACCTTACCCCTCAAATAGGGCAAGTGAAAATTTCAGGCACTGTCAGGCATCCTGGGATAGAAAGACTGTCGCTCATTGAGAACTGAGTGTGGTTATGTGTGTACAGGTATACACACTCATATAGTGTACACACATACCTGATAGGGTACACACACACATAACCCTCTCCACAAAGGATCTACGACTTATCATTTTTGTTATTGTTACTGCTATTTGCTTGACTTGCTTTGTTTTTTTTGTGAAAGGTTGCACTGTGTGGTCCAGGCTACCCTCGAACTCATTACACAGCCTCAACTGACCTCCTATCCACAATCCTACCCCCTCAGCCTTTTGAGTGCTGGGGTAACAGTCATTACCTGTCTATGGCTTTTACTGAAAGTTTTAGAGATGTTTATTTCATCTACAATATTAATTTTAATCCAGTTTATTAACTTCAGATAACTTTAATGACCACAACATTGTGACATTTGGATGTAACATATGTGGCCTAATTATTTGCTACCTGGAATAGGATTTCTTGCAGGGGCTTTTAGAAACGTGTAAGGCACTTTGGTTTTCCACGACTTCAGGATGTAATAAGTATTGAGTGGGCAGAGGCAAGGGATGCTAACTAGTCACACACAAAAGATTACCCCCACAGTATAACTGGAACAATCCCCTCTCTCATGGTTGGGTAGTATCTGGTCACTCCACTGTTACAAGACAGGCAGCGGAGATTCCCGTGTGCATGATTCCTGCCCCTAGCCAAGTTCCCAGAAGTAGGATGGCCAGAGGAAGGAGTCACAGTCAGCACCCCCCAAACATGGCCAATTTCATATACAAGTGGCCACCACCAGGAGGCCTGACCTTACCCGGTAGCGGGTCTGCCGGTCCTGCTTCAGCTGCTCGAACCTGCGCTTCAATTCATTCTGCCGCTCTGCTCGCTTCTGGGCCCGGCCCACATACAGCTGCTGCCCGCTCACCTCCTTTCCGTTCATGTGGTCCACAGCCTGGGGCAGGAGGGAGAATGCTTGGCAAGCACCCAAAGACAACCCTGGCCTTTGCCCTGGCCTCCAGTCCTGCATTCTTGGTCTACAGGGACCACCTGCAAACCAGCTAGCTGAGACTTGCTAGCTGAGACTAAGTAGTACCAAGATAACAGCCATTTACAGCTCATCCACCTCTTAACATGGAACCAAATTTCACAGTGAACTACACAGGGGGCTTGGAAATGAACCCAGGGCCTTCACACTGAACAACACATTTATCTCCAGCCCTTTACATTTTGTATTTGAGACAGTCTCAGTAAGTTGCCCAGGCAGGACTCAAAACTTTCAATCCTCCTACCTCACCCTTCAGAGTACTAAGACTAGAGGTATGTGCCACCACACTTGACTTAGATTTTTTTCTTCTTTTTAAAAATAGGGTCTCAGATCAGGAGCGGTAGCACATGCCTGTAATCCTAGGACTTGGGAGGTGAGGCAGGAGGACTGGAAATGAGTTGGAGGCCAGCCTGGGCAACACAGTGAGACCCTGTCTTTTCTGTTTGGTGTTTTGTTTTGTTTTTGAGACTCACTGAATTTGAGAACTCACTGAGGTCTCACTGAGTTCCTGAGACAGAGCTCACACAACTGTCAGTATTCCACGTAGGTGGGATTATAGGCTTTCACTACCATGCCTGTCTAAACTGTAAAATGTTTAAATTTGATTGGAATTCTATTTTAAAAATGGAAAACTGAAATCTGTAGTATTCCACATTTCTAATTTACACAATTTAAATACATTTAAATGTTCTCATATTTAAAACACATTATTACTCAGTGAAAGAGGCCAATCTGTACAGCTGTGCATTATTGGACTCCAGCGACATGACATCCTAGAAAAGACAAAACTATGAGGCCAGTACAACAAGTACTTGTGGACAGGAGGAGTTAGGGGATAGAGAGAGACGCCTAGCCAGGGCACAGATTTTTAGGGCACTAAAAACAGTACATACTCTGTATGGCACTGGAATAGTACATACATGTCCCCATAGGTTTGTCCAAACCCACAGAACGCACAACAATGATAATGAACCATAGTTTAAACAGTAGACTCTGGGGGAGAAAGATGTGTCAAAATAGGTTTATCCCAGTTGTAAGAAATGGACCGCTCTGCTGGGGAAAGTTGTTAAAGGGAGCGACTGTACATGCGTAAGAGAAGAAGTTTATGGAATACCTGTACCTTCCATTCCATTTTATTATAAACCCAAAACTACTCTAAAAAAATAATCTATTACAAAATAACGTACATTTAAGTCTTTACTGCAACTATACGTGGATAACTTGAACAAAAGAGCAAACAATTCTTTCAAAATGACATGATAGTATCAACATTCTTTACTTCATATTTCACAGCACAAAAGAATCCTTTTTGTTAAAGTACAAGGGCCGTCTTTTATTGAAATTATGATGTCTTAAACTTAAACTAGATTTTTCTTTTCTTCACTGAACTGGCCTAACCCTGCTAGATCCAAAGTCTGCACAAAATTCTGCACCTTCTGAGGATGTACAACTTTTCTCTGTAATCCATTAACATCAAGTTGAATTTCATTGGCTTAGCCACACACACACATACACACACAAAATCAGCAAAAGTCATACCCAAGTCTCTAATGATCCAGTGGTTAGGATTTTACACTAGTATTAATAAGAACTATTTGCAACTGATATTTTAAGCAGTTAGTTCATTAGTAAATGCTTACACATAATTATGACTTTTCCTTCCCTGCTTCAATTTTCAACTTTCTGAACTTCAAGGCTGAGTGGTAATAAGCGATAAAACCTTTCGCCTGTGCACTGTGGGCTGGAAGGGCCACCCCTATGCGTGGAACTCTCCCCCTCCTCTTTGCGTAGGAAGAGGGAGACACCCTCCCCCTCCATGAGCAGCTGGAAGCCCCTGCGCCAGATCTCCCTTCCTCCTAGTCCTGGCTCACTGCCTCTTTCCTGGAACAGAACCATGGGCAGGCGCCTACCTTCTGGGCTTCCTCATGCTTCTCAAAGTTAACAAAACCAAAGCCCCGGGAGTGGCCACTGTTGTCCCTCATCACCTTCACACTCAGCATGTTTCCTGGAAAGGATCAACCTGGCTCAGAAGAGAGTTGCAAAGCCCCAAGAAGTTCCCTCCCTTCCCGCACACTCAGCAGAAGTCCGAGACGGAGCCTCCCCTCCGCCAGACTTGGGCTTGGAAGAAGAACAACTGGGCTCCCCCTCCTCCCCTGGGGGACTTGCTCACCAAATGCAAAGAAGAGGTCCTGCAGGCCCTGCTCATCCATGTCCACGCTGAGATTCTTCACATAGATGTTGGTGAACTCCAGGGCTTGAGCCCCTAGCTCTGCCTCCCGTTCTCGTTGAGACTTGAAGTGGCCAACAAAACTGTAGACACACCAACAAGGTAGACAGCTGCCAGCCTTCAGCCACTCCTCACCCCAACCTCCACCACCCAGCAACCCTGGACAACTCGTAGGGCCAATCGCTGTCCACATGCCCTCGTCAGGAGTCTGGCAAAGTTATTCCAAAGACTGGGTATGTCCAAGACCTAGCTATTTCAAACAGCCAAGAAGCTTGTCCCTCATATGAGGCTCAGAATCCTCTGTTCTTGAGACAAATGGATACAGAACTACTACCGTATACCAGGCAGCTAAGAGCATAGAAGATATGAGCATAAACTTGCTGTTCAAACAATGCTGTTGCTGCCTTGTCATGTGACTGTGGGCAAGTTAAACTTTCTGAGCCTGTAAAACTGAGATCAAACTCACGTCATTAAACTATTCTTATTCATTTAACATATACTGGGTATACTGGAGAAGCAGGGGTGAGTGAATCAGACATGATCAATACCCGTATCACTTCACAGGGATGGATTGAAATCATAAATACAATAATTTTAAAAACATGTCCAAGCTGGACATGGTTGTGCACACCTGTAATCCCAGCACTCAGGTTGATTGTCACAAGTTTGAAACCAGCCTGGGCTACAAAGTGAGCTCAAGGTCAGCCTGAACAGCTAGCAAGATCCTGTCTCAAAAAAAACCTAGGAAAAGATTTTTTAAAAGAGATGCAGTTTCACTATGTTGCCTCATCTGATCACAAACTTCTGGGCTCAAGTGAACCTTGTGCCTCAGCCTACCAAGTAGCTGGGCCTAAGATAGCACCATCATCTCTGATAGCAAAGTAGCTTAAGAGGGGTAAAAAACTAAGCATAGAAAATTTTAGTGATACCTACAGCACATTTCACATAAGCAAGTTGTGCCAGGCACTGAAAATTAAAGAAAACCAAGCGGCAGAATTAAGCGTCACTGGATGGTTGCTAACAAAAATGGCATATTTCTGGGAACTAGAAAAAAATCCCATGGGCTGGGGATGTAGCTCAGCAGCACAGCGCCTGCCTGGCAAGGTAAGGTCCTGAGTTTGATTCTTGGTGCCAAAAAGGAAAAAGCCCACCCCGATTCAGTGTGAAAAGCTGAAAATATCCCCCTCCTCCAGTTCATCTCCCAGCCCAAAGCCACCTCCACTCCGCAGCACTGACCACAAAGCTATGCCATCAGACAGTGACCAACAGGACTAGGGGAAAAGACCAGCCAAAAGCAGGTTCTCCTCAGCACGTGCATCTCAATTTCCCAACTGTGAAGTGGTGAGACACTGGACTTAAGCAGGCCAAGCACATGCCTAATTTTCTTTCTGCCCCCAAATCCCACAAATCAACACCTAAAGGTTTAAGAAAATTCACAGCCAGGGCTGGGGATTTAGCTCAGCGGCATAAACACCTGCCTTGTAAGCAGGCAGTGGTGAGTTCGATCCCTGGTACCGATAAAAAACAAAAAAGACAAAAAAAAAAAAAAAAAAAAGAAAAGAAAAGAAAATTCACAGCCTTACTGAGAAGACTGGAAGACAGATGGAATCATGGAGTCCTCTGATGACTTGGCCATTAGTGAAAATTTCAAAATCATCAATTCTTTTTTTTTTTTTTGTCTTTTTCATTTTTATCAGTACCGGGGATTGAACTCACAACCGCCTGCTTGCAAGGCAGGTGCTTATGCCGCTGGGCTAAATCCCCAGCCCCAAAATCATCAATTTTTACTCAGAACATGTATCATCAGTTTCAGCTTAATGTGAGTAAACAGCCCCTAAAAGGCTGAGCAACTCAACTGAGGTCACATGTCAAGGCAAAAGATTGCTGCCTGGCATCCAGTGCCCATTAGACTGCAGAAAGAACACTGCTCTTAACGGGTGATGCCACAATTCTGCCCCTTTGGGCTCAGCCCCTCCCTCAGGCCTGGCCACTCACACTTTGCGGTCATTCAGCAGCATCCCATTCATGGTGCCGATGGCCTGCTGCGCAGCCTCATTGGTCTCAAAATGCACAAAGCCGAAGCCCCGAGAGCCATGCTCGTCACACGCGACCTGGACATGGGGAGGAAGAACAGAGAACACCCAGCTGGGGATTCAGGGACAAAATGACGGCAATGGCGATAATGGCCAGTACCTGTGCTTGCTGTTACATGTGCAAGACAGTCCCACTGAGGATCGGCAGTGTAGCTTAGCAGTAGAGCATTTGGCTAGCATGCATGAGACCCTAGGTTCCATTCCTACACTGGAAAAAGGAGGGGAGAGGAAGAGATAAGTAACAAAGACAGAAGAGTACCCTCAGAATGACACAGGTTTTGTCTATACCACACATCAGCTTTAACAGTCTCAGACAATGGACAGGACATTACTTTAAATCTCCATGCCTAAATCCTGTTTCTAATAACAAACTGGAAACACGCTGAGCAGTCACCTATCAGGAGAAGACTGGTTAAAGAAATTATATTTCATCCACACCAGGTCACCCTATGTACACCACTGGACAGAATGGGACAGGTTACACAACTGACAAGTTATCTGTAAGATAGTATTAAGCAGGGAAAAAAAAACTAGCAATTTGGGTTAAAGTTATCTACATACAGGGAAGTTTTGAAGCAGACACACAAAACTATTCTTTATTTCTGGGGACAAGGGCTTGAAAGGATGGATTCTTGTTTGCTGTCTTCCATTCCATATTGTTTAAATTTTACCAATTCATATATTATTTCAATAACAAACTTGTTTTACTTTTTTAAACACAATATTCTACTTCTATTCTGTAACCTTTCTAACTGAAGCTGGAAGAAGAGAATTGAAGAACAGGGAAAGACCTTCCGTTTACATAGTTCTGGTCCCTCTTGTTGAACTTGCACTAAAACCACTCACCCCTCTCCAAGGTGACCGTTGTTCCACTCGTCACCAAAGCCACCACTCCAGCTCAGTGACATTCTCTGCCTACAAAAACACCCCAGGCTTCCAGCCCCATACTTACTGCAGAGATTCTCTTTCTAAAATGTGATTCTAAGCAGGTCCCTTTAATCTCAAGTGGTTTTCTACTCTGCAAAGAAGTCTATTGGCATCTGAGGTGCTCTAATGGGTCCTACTCAACAAACGCTGCTTCTAAGCCTATGCTCAGCACTCAACCCTATACCTCGGCATCCCCAGCCACTTGCAGGTCAAGCCCCAGCTCTTTCATCACCTAGGCTCAGTCATGTTGCCTGGATCCCCCTGTGCACCAAGCACCTAGAAAAGGAATCACCTTGTTGTATTTGCCAAGTGAGTTCTTCGAGGAAGTTCTTAACCTCTGAGCCTCAGAGAGACAATAAGAATAACTAACTTGCCCAGTATCAGCAGTCACAGGAAGAAATTTAATTACTGTAGTTACTCCATAGATGTTTAACCTTTCACGGCCTAACTCAGTTCACCATCACTACAGTGAAGATGTCCCTTTTAGACAAAACTGAGATGTTGCCAGGTTAAACAACTGCCCCTAGATCACAGAGTCAGGAAACAGAAGGAACAGGATTTGTATCCAGGATGTTGGCCTCAGAGTCCTGGGTATGACCCTCTACCTTATGTTGCCTCCTTGTTAAGTGGCTGGGTTTTGCATTCAAGTGGGTTTAGATCATGCACTCTTTCCACAGTGTCACCGAAACCTTTCCTGACCAACCAGATGGCTTTCTCCTTCCCAGTCACCCAACTACACAACAACCATCCTTTTCCTTCAGCACCTCATTTCCAGCCAATCCTAAAAGTCTCACCATTCTAACCAGCCCATAGGAACACACCATGTATCTTGTTTCTAACAACAGTGCTTCCTTTGGTCTGCAAAGGTTTGCCTGCATTGCACAAAGCTTTCTATTAAATTCTCAAGAGTTCATAAGAGTCCTGGGCAAAGGGGAAAGACATACTGTACGTACCCTATTGATTTGCTTTAGCTAATCTGGCAAACTCACTAGTTCAAACCCTGGTTCTAATTCCACCCTGTACAACGTAGAACAATGGACAAGCGGCTTCAACTCTGAACCTTTCTGTCCTCCTATGTACATACTAAGGGCTATCGTGGAAAATCCCCAATGTGGCCATGGGTGCAGAAAATCTAGTACAGAAAAAGTACTTGACAAATCTGCTACTGTCATAGCAAGAACTTGTCCCACAAACCCTCAAAAGTAAGGAGCTTCTCTGTCTCTGCCTGTGTCTGTTTTGCCTGAGGCATTTCTTTCAACGCCTCAAGACTCATCCTGCTCCTTTGAGCTATAAAGATAAGCCTCCCACTCATAGAGAAAACAAGAGACCGGTAAAAGTCTTTTTTTTTTTTTTTTGTCTTTTTCCTTTTTATCGGTACTGGGGATCGAACTCACGACTACCTGCAAGGCAGGCACTTATGCCGCCGAGCTAAATCTCCAGCCCCGACCTGTAAAAGTCTTAACACAGAGGACATCACAAATCCCCATCTCCCCAGAGGAGGGCGCTTCAGAGGCTGCAGGGTAAAGTCAGCCATCCTCATAGAATGCAGAGGCAGAACATCTAGGTTTTAGCCATGGGGTTAGCACACACTGACCTACTACATGGCCTATGCTCCCGAATACCCTCTACACAAAAATCGGAAAACTAGTTAGAGTCCTTCGCAAATAATAATACATCTGATCACTCAGCAAATATGTATGAGGACCTGTTTTTTGTATCATACATATTCTTGGTACTAGGATACAATGGTAACTAACATGATCACTACAATGATAGAATTTACAGAGCTGTAATTCAATGGTAGAGCAATTACTTGGCTCATGCAAGGTCATGAGTTCAATACCCAATACCAAAACAAAACAAGGTGTGGCCCATTGATTGCTGTGATGGCCTCAATTTACGGCCTTCCTGTAGCTACACTATTTAAGTTCTATTGCCTTCTCACACTGAATGTGTTACTGGTTTGTGATTTGCTGTAGCCAGTAAGCTGCAGAAGTGATGGTGTCCTAGGTCTGAGTTCAAGTCTCGGGGGCCTGGTGAGCTTTTACTCTGCCTTATGGAATCCTGCCAATGCCATGCAAACAGCCTGGGCTAGTCTACTACTGCAGAACGGAAGCTCAGAGGGTGGAAGAGTAGGAGGTACCGACTGACAGATGGCCACTCCACTGCTGCATGTGCCCACCGAGGGCTCCTACCTATCTCTGGTGGCATGAGGGAGTCCAGCCAGCCACAGTTGCCGAACTGCTCAGCCCAACACAATTAAGAGCTAAATAAAAATAAATAGTGGTTGTTGATAGCCACCAAGGTTGAGGGTGATTAGACAGCCAGCAGACTACAGCACAGGTAACCACTGATGGATCCAGGATGATAAATTAAAAGAACAGCTGTGGATCAAGCATTTGCTATATAAGAGCTCTTCCTTATAAACTGTGAACCTTGTAAAATGAAGTGTTGACTGGCATCCCTCTACCACACAGATATTTGATATTGATTCCCCCTAAAAATGACCTACCTTGCAAGACAGGATGTTCCCAAAGGTGGAGAAGGTATCATACAAAGCCTTGCTATCAATGGAATCCTCCAAGTTCTTTATGAAGACGTTCCCCACACCCGACTTTCGAAGTCCTGGGTCTCGCTGAGACCACATGATTCGGATGGGTTGACCTTTGATCACCTCAAAATTCATTGTGTCCAGTGCCCGTTCCGCTGCACAGGAACAAAGGAGGGAAAGGAGCAAGTGAAGAGGGTTTTCTGACCCTGAAACTCCACAGTACTCAATCAAACTCATTGTCTGGGTCCCATCTGAGACATGAACCCAAAAGCTCAAGAGGAATAAGCGGACACGGTAATCCTCCACCCATCTTCCGTTAGAGTCCTCCTGGAGCCATATGAGCACAGATTCCTAACCTCATCTCACAGATGGGAAAATTTAGGGTCTGAATGGCTGAAAGGCCAGCAGTAGAGCCAGGTCTGTACTGATCTCTAAGCACACTGAGTCGATGAGAATGTCAAAGATGGGTTCATATGAGAAAGGGGGGCAGCAGTTTGGGGAAATTAAAAGTGATAAAGTGTTAAATAACAGTTGAGATTCCCCAAGAAGGTTTGCTTTCAGGAAATGGAGTACCATCCCTCCAAGCCCATTTCCTTATCTGTAAAACAAGTCTGATGACCTTACCTACCTTTCCATACCCAAAAAAGAACACAGTATCATCTGCCTCCAGGTCAGAGGCAGGATTGGGCAGATTGAAAAGTAAAGCATGTAAGACTTGCTTGGTAAATGGCAGTGCGTCTGGAAACAGCAGCCTGTGGTACTCTCCTGCCACTGCAACATCCTCTCCCTTCCCAAGAATATGCAGAGTTACCCTCTGTCTGGGGGACTCTGCTAGTTTCAGTATGGAGGAAGCCGGGGGGTACAGTGCAGCAAGTCACTGGGTTCTCCAGCTAGTCCATTGAGAGCACCCAAGAGGCAAAGCTCTTCCTCTCTGCGACTCCCTTCTTCTGTCTACAAACTGGGACCAAAAGATCAGGTCTGTTCACTCATGAAGCCTGCAGATGGCTTGTGGGAAGACAGAAAGAGGCAGTGGGTAGAGTGAAGAACAGCAGAAAGCATCCTGGGACTCAGTTTAGTCACAGGGAACAACACAGGGAACCTCCCTCCTGCCCACTCGCCTAGACATGGTATAAGGTGCAATACTCTGGGCCCAGCTAGGGCAGGTGTTTTGGTTGTTTCCAGAGTTGCACCAGAATGTTACAGCTACTATCTTTCTTTAGGTTATCACTTAGGAGTGCTTACCATGTTCCAAATGTTATTTCATAAACACCAGCTTTCTGTTCTTTATATTACTGGGAAATAAGGTCATACCCCCCCCCTTTTTTTTTGTCTTTTTCCTTTCCATCGATACCAGAGATCGAACTCACAACTGCCTGCTTGCAAGGCAGGCGCTTATGCCGCTGAGCTAAATCCCCAGCCCCGTCATACCCTATTTTATAGATAGTATCAAAGGTGATCCTGGCCAAGTTCACAGCGTAGTAGAGTGCTCCAGGAGGGCTCTTAACCTTTATCTTCTACTCCTGACCTGTGGACATCCTGTACTCAGCTGGCAAACTCTGAATCCTTTCAATCTTGGGGAGCCTGCAGGAATCAAGTGACTTTTCTGAGACAGAAAATGTGGAGACACGGGTTGTACACCTCACGTCAGGCTGCCATGAAGGTGGGGTGAGCCCAGGGATCTCCTACTCTCCTCATGGGCATCGTCCTCTCCAGGTGCCTTTTTGCTTTCGTTCTGAGACGAGTTCTCCTTATGCAGTCCAGGCAGGCCTTAAATTCATGATCCTCCTGCCTCAGTCTCTCGGTGGTGGGATTGCAGGTGTGCTCCATCACATCCAGCTCCTCCAGGTGCTCTGAATCTCACAACCCCTCTTAAAGGTATGTAGGGCCCCCATTTTCCTGGGATCACACAGCGACTGACTGATCTCAGAATGGCTGAGCAACTCGCCCAACAGTCGCACACATGTTGGGCTCCATCCCACTTGGGCCTGATTCCAGTATCCTTAGTAGTTTTACCCTGGCCTTAACATCTTCTCTGCAAAATGGAGCACTATCTATCTGGTGCACCTCTCTGCACCCTAATTCTGTGCCTCCTTTTCCCTGACCGCCCCATGGAACGATGAGAGCCTGTGCAGCCTGCTCCGGGGGCTGGCTCTGGCTCACGCTCCTCCCTCTCCAACCGCACTCCCCGGCGCTCACCGTCTGCGGGCTGCTGAAAGTTAATGTAGGCATAGCCCAGCGAGCGCCGGGTGGCCACGTCGCGACACACCCGGATGGACAGGATGGGGCCGACGGGAGAGAACGTCTCGTAGAGCATTGCCTCGGTCACGTCCGGGTGCAGGTCGCCCACGTAGAGCGAGGAGAGCGGATAGCCCTGGCCGCCGGCGTGCATGGCGAGCGGCCGAGCGGGAGGTTCCAGACGCCTGCGCCGGCCCGCCCCCTGCCTTTACCGCCCCGGGGCTCCTGCGCACCAATCGGCAGCGCCCGGCCCCACCCCACCTGGGAGCCCCGGGCGATCGGAAGGCGCAGGTGGGGGTCGTCTCCGACCTGGCCCAGAAGGCAGGGCCCAGCACTGGTTCTGGCCTAGGGCAGCCAGCTCTGTAAAAGCGCAGGGCCCGATTATTGCTTTGAAATTTTTAGTTTTGCTTTCTTTTCTCCTTGAACTAAATGGATTTAAAAAACTAGAATTTTAAAAAGCGGTGGGCAGGGGCCAGGGATTTAGCTCAGCTCAGCGGCATAAGCACCTGCCTAGCAAGCATGAGATTAAGTTCTATCCTCGGTACCAAAAAAAAAAAAAAATAAGTGGGCAAGACCGCAGATTGGGCTCTAAATTCAGGTCTTTCGCTCTCAGGATGTTTTCCTTCTCTGTAAAGTGGGAAATACTCCCTCGTCAAGGTCACCCTATTGCAATGTTTGTGTGCAAAATTATCAGCCGGCTAAAAGTTTCTCGCAGTTTGACCCAGTTCCACCCTTTGAACAGAGGATGGAAGGCTTTGGGGTCTCAAGGCCGCACAGAAAGTCTAAGCCTTCCAAGGTCTTCCTTGTACTAACTACCTAGTCCTCTGACTTCCTCAGATGTTACCTCCCACCTCTGGGGCCTAAACCATTCTCCCTGCGTTCTGACGGGGCTTATAGTGACCCAGCTGCAAGAGAACCCAAGAGACAGCTGAGAAGAGCCAAGGAGACAGCCCTGCACTAATGGATGGCCCATCTGAGCTTGCAGCCAGCCGCAATCCATGCGGCAGAGGACAGCCAAGTCCGCGGCAGACCAGTACTTCTTCACCTTGATTCTCCCAGGCAGGTAGGGTCCCACTGACCTGTTACTGGTCGTGGCTACCACAGGAAAAACCACCCTCAAGGACACAGGAATGCTGGTCTAGCTGTCCAGCCTCACACTAGAAAGCAAGCACCAATTGATTCTAAGTTGGGGCTAAAAAATATCCCTTTATCTTGGTTTTTTCCTCTCCTGGAAAATGTACTTTTAGAAGAAGTGGGGAATCTTCCATGAGGACAAATTACTGTAGACTATCATAAACAGCACAGGCACAAGACATAGATGGAGATGACCAAGACATAGAAGGTTTGATTGTATCTAGCTTGGCTTTTACTTTTTTTAAAACAATGCTTGAAAACAATGTTGTCCATACTAAATCCAACAAGCCACAGAGGACCTAACACCTGGATAGGTTGTTATGGAAGGTGGGTAGGCTGCAAGGAATAGGTGCAAAGAGGCTATTACAATTTCTTCTCCTGTGCCACCACACCCTGACTTCTGTTTCCAAAGATTAAAAATAAACCCGTTTTCTTATTTTTAAAGAAAATAGAGCCAGAAACAAGTATGATCAGAAATAGATTTGGTAGTGACAGAGATGGGGTTAACACATCAATTCACAAGCAACTAACTGATAAAATTTTTTTATTTTGCTTTTGAATTTTTACACTTTTCCTGATTATTCCATGTAAGGTGAAACTAGAACTGTTTAAAAGACATACACAAATCTAGTACATCAATAACCAGGGAGTTTTCTTTTTTGCTATACTATTTCACAACCACGGGTGTGCTTGCTAGGCAATATAACCATCACAGAAGCAAACGTTAGGCAGAATACTGGTAAGGAAAAACAAAGCGAAGAGCTACCAGATATACAGACAGGCTTGGTTCCACATTCACTACTGCATTTTCAAGCGCCAAGTATTAACTGCACATTTTTGTTCAGCTAGAGAGGAGGGATTTTTTTTTGTATTTTTTTCCTTTTTTGGTTTGTTTTAAATCAGTGCATGAATTCTTTTCTCATTTCAGCAGATGAACAAACAGATGGATGCTACAGCTACATGGAATGTTGAAGGTACAGGGGCGATACTGTGAGGCTGAAAGGCCTGGGTATTCTTGATTCTCTCCATGGCAGTGTCCATAGCACTTCCCTGCATCATAGGGCCTTGTTGAGACTGAGAACTGAGCTGAAAGAGTACGCTTGGAGGATTTAGAGACAGATGTAAGCATTATTAGGGTTGGTTGCAATACAGGGAGAAATCATGAATATTCAGAAAAAAATGTTTTTGGATTCGGGTCATGGTGTGACTGAAAAATAAGTGTGCTGGGAACTGGAAGACAAGGCCGGAAGCTCTTCAACAACCCTTTGAAGCAAGGCCTGCTCACCAACATCTCTCACCCTGTCCATACAGTACAGAGAGTGAACAAAAGACAAAGAGAAAATTCCAGAAGAAAAAAAGTCCTTCTTGGACATAAAGAGGGAAAAGTTAACAGCCAAAAGGACAAGGGAAAGAATGTTGCAATTTCAAAATTCAAATGCTCCAAGCAAGGACAAACTCAAAGACTGAGTACTCTTCAAGAGAGAGCTGGGCTCTGCAGAGCATTGTTCTTCAGGGTGTTATCCAGCAAACACAGGGTGGCTCTTTCCCCCATCTTTAGCTACCTGGTAACAAGGAAAATAGATCTCACTCTTTCACAAGTTGCAAATCAGTAACATTCTGCCATAGGAAAGGGAGTTTAGCAACACATGTTATAGGGGCGCTGGACCTTTTCACCATGTTATAACCAGTTATCTGCCACAAAGGATTTCAATTTCAGGCTTTGAGTTTCCTCAGAGGAAGACACTATAGACGGTTTGTGGTTATGAACTTTTGAGTGGCAACAGCCCAAACTGGTCAAACTGTAACCTGAACCACAGCAGAATTTCTGTGAATTACCATTAATCTTGGATGCCAAATGTTAAGTGCCTCACTCCAAAACCAGCATCACAATAAAATCTATAACTTTCTGTACAACTTTACAACAGAATTGTATTTTAGTGACTATTTTGATATCAGATTAAACTTTTCAAAAAGTTATACATAATACATATTTTTCTACCAGTAAGAGTGCTGAAAATTACAAAACCCCATTATCACAGTGTTCAGTTTTTAAAAATTAAACAGTAATCCTGTCAATGTTAATCAAAATCAAAACTTCAAAATGCTGTGGCATTTATGTGACCAATCTGAGTTTTAGATTGATACCAGCTGTTTATCCCATGGACCATTTTTGCTAGACTGAGGCTGTGAAAAATCGAAAAGTCGACATACGAATTTTTTTCTTTTTCTTTTTTTTATCACACAAAGGGATGTATGTGGAGGATACAGAGTGACACTGGAACAGATTACAAAGCACAACAGATATTAGTTTTCTCCCTCCCCAGCATCTCCTTCATCGCCCTGGTTTTCCGACGTCCACAGCTGCAAGGGAAAAGAAAAAAAAGCTATAATTAAAGGAAAGCTACTAAAACTTACTGGTGGGGTGAGATAAGATACAAGGTTTGTATCTTATCTCACTCAACTACTGGAAATTCCTCCTGCATTGCTGTAGTAATGACTGCCAAGGTCAAAACACCAGCAATGATTTAGAACTAATTTAACAGTTTATAGAGTTAGCCATATTTTACACGATACAAAGTCTTCTTGAATCTTAGATAATAGTTTTTTTTGTTTTGTTTTGGTATTTTTTTTTTTTTTGTCTTTTTCCTTTTTATTGGTACCAGGGATCGAACTCACGACTGCCTGCTTCCAAGGCAGGTGCTTATGCCGCTGAGCTAAATCCTCAGCCCCAATCTTAGATAATAGTAACTATTGAGTAGATAAATAGTAAAGGGACTATAAATACTCCACAAGTCATACTTACAGTGAGATTGTCCCTAAGTAACTGCATGATCAGTGTGCTGTCTTTGTAAGACTCTTCATTCAGTGTATCCAGCTCAGCAATGGCTTCGTCAAATGCCTAAAACAAACAACCATTAGCAGGAAATCTACAAGTTCTCTGAAGTGAGTTTAGCCAAACTTTTTATTAACTAATAAGTGATCATTATTTCTCTTGTTCTACAGTACTTTTGAAGAACTTACGCTATTAACACTTCTTTTGCTAATTCTTTCAACAAGTACATAATGTACATTTATAAAGCACCAAGCAACAATGACAAAAATTCCTAGATTAGAACTGTTTTACCTAATGAGCAATCATTATATTACTAATTGTGGCACATTTATTTTAGGCAAACTCATGGAATTCTTTTTTTTTCTTGCCGTACTAGGGAATGTACCCAGGGCCATGCTCATTTTATTTTTTATCCTGAGACAGGGTCTTGCTGTAAACTGCTCCATGCTGGGCTCAAACTTGCAATCCAGTGCTCCTGCCTCGGCCTCCCAGAGTGTTGGGATTACAGGCATAAAGCACCATGCCCAGCTGCAATTTTTTGACTACTAAAGACAATTCTAGTAATCCTTTAAAAAAAAAAAAGAAAGAAAAAAACCTTCAAAAATTCTAGATACAAAAGACAATAAAGAAGAGTGAAATTTTTCACTAAACCTGATTTGATTAAGTGGACAACTTTGAACAATTCATTTTAGCCACCTGTTTCCAAATTAAAAAATAGGAGCTAGGAATTTAGCTCAGCAGCATAAGCGCCTGCCTGGCAAGCGTGAGGTTGTGAGTTTAATCCCTGGAAAAAAGCAAAAAAAAAAAAAAAAAAAAAAAAAAAAGAGAGAGGAAATAAAGTAAGTCGCAGTACACAAGCTGAAAAACTACAAACATGTAACCTACAGGAAAAAAAGGTCTGATTTCTTTTGTTTACATAACCATAATCTCGTATCAGAGTACAAACAAGAATGACAATATAAAACCAATGCAGACAGATTGATAAAAGAACAACAAATTAACCTCACCTAAAATTTTCTATCACCACCCTCAAAAAACAGTAGTCAAATCAAAGACAGCAGGTGTTGAGAAGGAATCATGAAGTAAAAGTCTTTCTTTCATAAGATACCCCCCAGAAAATAATTTTTAAAAATTCAAGACAATGAAGAATAAAAATAAATTATACTAGAAAGCACTGCACTGTTTTCTATGAAAAGAAACCACATAGGGTCCTTCTCACCGTTTTTGCCAGGCTGCAGGCCTTTTCAGGAGAGTTCAGAATCTCATAGTAAAAGACTGAGAAATTAAGCGCCAGGCCAAGTCGAATTGGGTGTGTAGGCTGCATTTCTTTCTTACTAATTTCAAATGCTTCCTGGTAAGCCTGCTGGGAGTTTGACACAGTGGCTAAAAGAAAGGTGATAAAAATTAAAGGTTGCATCACACACTAGATTCGCTATCAAATTATTTTAACAAACTAGGCTGAAGCACATGACCCAAGCCTACACCATTCAATTAAATGTCTGTTAAATGTTTATCTTAAGTACCGTACACTGTATTAAATGCTTTGGGAGAAACAAAGAAAAGCTAAAATATATATAGCCTTATATATATTTTAATATTTTATATATTATAAAATATATATAGCCTTATACGAAAGAAGAAAACACTTTGCTCCAGTGGACAGAAAATAGGCGTTACAGTCAGCAAATCCAAACTGTACTCCCCAACTTTTACTCACTAGGCATGTGGCCTTGTGGCTTGGAACAAGTAAAAACCTCTATTCAGAAGTCACACCTTCTTTTATTAGAAATAAAGGCAGCTGCCCACCTGTCATGAAGTTATATGAGGATAAATAGGACTCCTAAGTATTTAAAACACAGTAGGCACTTAATGTAGGCTACAATTACTACCCTATTAGTAATCCATGTGATAAAGAAATAGTGGTTTTATACCACAAATACAGTAGATCTCTTTAATCTGTGCAATATGTGTTCCAAGACACCAGTAGATGCTTGAAACTGTGGATGGCACTGAAGCCTGCATAACTTTTTCTATACACACGTACCTCTGGTAAGTTTATGAATTAGGTGTACTAAATTAAAGTTAGCTAGTTACAAGATAGAATAACTATAAAAAATATTGTAACAGAAGTTTGCATTTTGGAGTCAGTAAAGTAAGAGCTGTCTGAACAAGCACTGTTGACACAATGACAGTCCATGTGATAATCGAAACAGCAACTAAGTGCGCAACAGGCAAGTAACATATATAAGGTAGATATGCTGGGCAAAAAAAGAGATGATTTATCTCCTAAGGAAGACAACATGGTATTTCATCCATTACTGACAACTGTATATTTTAAACTTATGAATCATTTATTTCTGACTTTTGGGGAGGGGAGGTACTGGGGATTCAGCTCACAGCCTTGCGCTAGCAAGGCAAGCGCTTATGCTGCTAAGCTAAATCCCCGGCCCCGCTTCCCTGGCCTTTTTCCTGGAATTAGCCATTTAATATTTTCAGATCATAGTTGAGCTTAAATAACTGAAACTGGAAAAAGGCAAACCATGGTTAAGGATAGACTACTATAGGTTAAAGTGTTGCTTCTAAAAAGAACTACCAATCAACCTCCAAATTACAAATTACAATCAGACAGTTAATGCCCTCACGGTTTGCCCCTTAGATACATCTTGATTTGTCAACACCCATGACCCTGTCCATCACAATGTTATGGCCTTTTAAGTTCTGCTTCCTGTGATGTAGTATTAGAGTGAACTGACAAAGAAAAACTTTAAGGTCATTACAAAAGAAGCCTGAGGTTCTGTTGTTGATCAAAAACTTTTAAATGTTACTTACTCTGTTTATTATCTCCAGATGCCACCTCAGAAAGATACCTAAAATAATCTCCTTTCATTTTCAAGTAGAACACTTTACTTTCTGGTTGGGTAGCATTGGGAATAAGGTATTTGTCCAACAGCTCCTAAAAAATGATTCACATTGGTAAGAATTTTGAATCCTTCACAAGGTGTTAAAATCATGTTTGAGATTTAAGGTACGCACTACCACTACCAATTTTCTTTGAAGACTTTAAAAAAAAAAAGCAAAGCATTTTTCACCCAAGTCACTTGTTTTAGCTTAGGTCGTAACAGCAGATGCCTATATTCTTCTGTTAAAAGTCACTTTCAACATCCATAAGGGATTTAACTACAATACAGCTAATTACAGTGCAATATTAGGAAAAAACAATGATGCAAACTACACTTGGAACATGGAAAGGCTCTCAAAAGAAACGGTGAAAAACCACATTACAACAAGAAGAGAATTTTAATATTAAAATACCTATGTGCACATGAACACAAATATACAGGGGGAAAGCCTGGAAGGATTATATTAATAACGTTTTCTTGGTGATAGGATTAGAAGTGATTTTTTTACTTTATACTCTTTTGCCCTGTCCTTTAGAAAAGAAAAAAAAAAAAAATAAACATAAAAACTTCTGTAATTAGAGCAAAAAATTCTTTCTATGCTGAGAGGATAAAGGTAATAACAGAACAAAACTGCCAGAACTAAAGTTTTTAATCAATCTGACCTGGGAAGAAACCCCTCCTCGGCTGCTTACTATTTGTATCCACAGGATCCTACTTTATCACCCTGAGCCTCAGTTCCTTGGTTGTACAATGGGGGACCACAATGGCCTCCTAGAGTAGTTATCAGGACAAATAAGCTAATGTACAAAAAGTGCTTAACACGTTGTCTGGCATGTAGTAAGCACTCAAAGAATCTAGTACTATTATTAATAATAAATTCCTTTAAACATTTATGCTTACAACAAAAGTAGTTCTGAAGGAGTCCAAGCTTCGTATACAGAGCAATATTTTCGAAGAGTTGTTTTAGAATGTGGCATCCTGAAAAACTGGTTAAGAGGCAGTAAGTACCATGCTCTTCTTCACATTCTTTCAGATGCTCTTAAAAGCTGGTCTACATTTCAGGAATTATGGAACTTTCTCGCCCTTGGAATGCATGCCATACTTCATTTGAATACCAGATGTACCTAACATTCAGGAATTAGTGCACCATTAACAAACCCCCAAATGACCAACAGGTAACAAGTTTAGCCATGACACACTTATACCCTCTATTAAAAAGAGAAGCTCAATGCAATGCTTAACTACAAGAGGATTTAACCAATCTGTAAGAAGATGCACGAGGCAGCAGTGGTTTTGATATTCTTTGCAGGTAGACTGGGTGTAACTCATTATGGGTAGGGATGAAAAGTACTGCCTCACTGCTGACAAGCTTTATACTGGTTTTCAAAAGAAAGGTGTCAAGGGCAGTAAGCAGGGGGGAGGCAGCCAGCAGGGGAGGAGACAGATCAACAATTGTGAATTTCTTTTCCCTTCAAAGCAGCCCTCACCTTCATTTTTACCTGATTTCACCTGGAAGAAAAAAAAGTTTGAAGTGGGCTCATGATGTGAGAGAAAAACATTAGGATCACGATTCGTCCTAAAATATGCAACCCCTCCCATTCAACCCTCTACTGTGGCCGGAGGAAATCAATCACCTAACTAGAACTTACATAACACAGGAGAGAAGAATCCCCTTAACCTTTTTTTTTAAATCTTTTTCGTTTTTTATCGGTACCAGGGATCGAACTCACGACTGCCTGCTTGCAAGGCAGGCGCTTATGCCACTGAACTAAATCCCCAGCCCTGAATCCCCTTAACCTTTGATTTGGCTTTGGAAATGCATGCTGAACTTAAGGGATATACCTAACTTTTAGACAAAAATAGGACTCTACAATATGAACATGGTCAGAGAGGCTAAAAGGCAACTCAGCTTTTTCATTCTGCCTCTTTTGGAGAGATGTCACTACTCAGACAACTATATGGAATAGCCTATCTGGTGTTGTACCTAAAATTCTGTCTGGCCTCTATTTCTGAAGAAGAGATGGAGGAGGGATGCTGATTAACTGTTCCTGTTTTGCATAGATCTTCTTGATAGGTGAGGAAAATACCCTAGAAGTGATAAATAATGTCTGATCAAGCAAAGAATGAAAAAAAAAAAAAAACATTATATGCTTAAAAATCAACTGCAAATGGTTTGTGGCTTTCCAGTATATTCAGAAATCTCTCATAAGCTGTTTGAGAGTCTACAGTGAAACATTAAATTAATACTATTTAGCAAATCTTTGAAAGCAGAAGCACTGGCCCCTTACCAGAACGTCATTGCAGATGTCCTGTAGCTCCGCCTCTATCTTCTCTCGGTATTCTTTGCCCATCTGCTGCTTCTTTTCATTCCTCTCTGTTTTCTGTTCAATGCTGGAGATGACACGCCAGGAAGACCGACGGGCACCTACCACATTCTTGTAGGCAACAGAGAGCAGATTCCTCTCTTCATTGGAGAGTTCGTGCCCCTGTTCAGTGACCGCCTTCATGGCCGCAGCCATATCATCATAGCGCTCAGCCTGCTCGGCAAGTTTGGCTTTCTGTACCAGCTCACTTTTGTCCATGGTCATTCCCTAAAATAAGAGCAAGAGAAAGCGAATATCAGACGTCAGGATCCATGAAATGCACTGTCAATCTCCACCCAGGTCATTTGGATAGAAGCTTCCCTGAAAGCAAAATACCTAGTCCCCACTGTCATCAACAACACTGACTATATACTGAGTGCCTTGGTGTCGGGTACTTCACCACAGCCTTTCAGTTATTTTGCTCAATTAATTGTCACCGCAGTTGTACAGGGTGGTGATACTCGTAACAACCTCTCCCTCATTTTTAGAGGTAAAGAAATGAAGGCTGAGGCCAGGCGTGGTGGTGCACACCTGTAATCCCAGCACTTGGGAGGCTGAGGCAGAAGAACTGCTGCAAATTTGAGGCCAGCCTGGGCTACAAAGTGAGTTCAAGGCCAGTCTGAACTGCATAGTGAATCTGTCTGCAAAAGAGAGAGAGACAGACAGATAGACAGAGAGACAGACCAGAGAGAGGGAGGGAGGGAGGGACGTTAAGTAGGTAAGTACCAGTGAAAGTAGAAAAGGATAGAAACAGACTTAAGATTATCTACCTGTCCTTAGTGTTTCATTTTTTCCACTCCTCTGCGCCTCCCTTACACACAGACAACACTGAATAACAGTTTCTGTAAAGATATAGGCTCACTATATGTTCTTTAAGTGCTTTCAGTAAGTATCTGCTTTTTAATATGACCCTGCTCCTCTCTCACTGTCCAGATTAACCAGTTCTGATCAATCTGTTTTCTCCCATAGTACAGGGAAAATACGTTAAGTACCACACTTTGATCAACCTTAAAACAAAAGCTGTGGGAGGGAGCCATCATTATCTTATTTGTTGCAATAGATAACTTTGTTCCAAAGGCAGGCTGCAAAGAAGAGCTTAAAGAGCCGCTGATGTGAGTTCTATCTAGCATCAGTTCTGATGTTCAGTAGTGCTATGGTCTCATTTAGATCTCTTAACTTAAGCACTTCAGTTTCCTTGCTAGAAAGTAAAAACATTACCAACTCTCTCAGTGGGGCTCTTGTGAGAACAAATGACCTACCAGGAGGCACTTGTACAGATTATTTAGGTATAGGCTGCAAGAGATAAAAGTCTACAGGATGCATAGCCATGAAACAAACCATAACAGAATTCCTTTGAACCACGAGTTCCACTTACAAGATTTTCGGGGGGGGGGGGGGGGATAAAAACAACATTCTCAATGACTTCAGTTTACAATTTTATCTAGTCCTTTATATTATCAATTAGTAAATACCTCTTCTTTGCCTCACCCCAATCAAGTTTTCACTATAATAATCATCATTGTAGAATGCAATAAATCTTAGATAATATATAGCATAAAAATTACAAACTATAGGGACTGGGGATTTAGCTCAGTGGCATAAGCGCCTGCCTTGCAAGCAGGCAGTCGTGAGTTCGATCCCCCAGTACCGACAAAAAAGAAAAAGACCAAAAAAAAAAAAAAAAAAAAAAATTACAAACTATAAATGTTTACTTTTGGCTTAAATTTCTACATATTCATAGTATGTGCCACCAACTAAAAACATGCTAATACCTTCAGGTTTAAAAAAATGAAACACTGGGCCGGGGATTTAGCTCAGCAGCAAAAGCGACTAACTGGCAAGTGCAAGGTCATGAGTTCGATAGTAGTAGTAGTAGAAACACTAAACACTAGCAGCATTTTTAAAATAAATTCTTTCATTACTATATACATGTATACGATTCTAAAAATGATTGAAAGTTTAAAAATAGAAAATATTTTACTTCTAAAACAATTTGCTTTAAAAGTCATTTTTGTATTCTCGTAAGAAAATTCTCAACAGAGACCTATCACATGGAAATAATTTATTAAATAAAGTATAATGATACAACATAAACTAAAAATCCAGGTAATTCAGAAAGCACTGATTCTCCAATTCAACTCACTTTTTTCCGTATGGCTTATTATCTAAGTCACACTCAGAGCTGCATCCTATAAAGGTTCACTAACTTTAAGCTTACACTCAGTGAAGCAAGTCTCATCTTGATCCATCTGACATCTTCACTCACAACACCAGAGTAAGACTACAGCAGACACAGTTATCTTCGTGAAACACTCCGTTTGCTTCTTCCCTTGCCATTAGAAGTTAGATAGCAGTTCTGCCCAGTAATGAGCAGGAATGCTGCGGCTCCCAGGCTGCAACTGCAGAAGTCCTATGTAGTGTCCCAGCTCTATTACAGCGGCAACCTAAAAAGCCGTGTATTCTAGATGGTGCAGTCACAAAACAATTGACATTGTCCCAGCTGAGTGCCTGGGTGACTGTACACTGAGCGCTGTTTCCTGTAGATTTGCACTGGACATGTTTGTTGGCTTAGGCCACTGAAATACTGGAGCCACGTGTTACCACAACATAACCTAGTGTACTTTACATAATAACACTATTAATCACCTTACAATTATATATGGGTACTCAATATACCTAAGTTTCTTGACCATTAAAGTGTTTGGGATCAGGATAGTATCTCCATGTATTAAAAGCCCTACTTCATTGTTCCGAAAAGTGCCAAGCACAACAGAGGTTTGTAAAACAACTTTCAAAAATTCAACAAGTATAAGAAAACATCTAGCCTGTGAACAAATACAAAGTGGTCACTTCAAGGTTAACTTCAAAGTTCATAAAAAAGCACTTGTGCTTTTTACCTATGAGTAATTCCTCATAATAAAGTTCTGGCCAAAAGTCAACTCAGGGTTAAACCATTTTATTTAGTATTTTAATTGAGTAACAAGTGAAATACTGACATTGCTAAAGGATGCAGCAGTCTTCAACCTTATTGGCATCCAAACTAAGCACTCTCGCCCCTGCGCTTCTTACGCATGGTTTTGCGTTGGGAGCGGTGACTGGGAAACTGAACCCACAACCCACACTTCACAGGCAGGCGCTGTGCCACTGAGCTATATCCCGGGCCCTTCAAGCATTTAAAAGTTAACTTATACTTGGAAAAGTCCTGATTGTTCTTTGGAACCTCCCAAATGTCCTCATCTTATTTCCTAAAATAAAACATGGCATTTCTGATTTGGGGCCAACTATTTCAAGCTTCTTTTGAATCATCACAAGGGTTCTTGGAGATGGGAAACCATCACCATAGAACTATACTGCAAAGCTTTAAAATAACTTGCATTCATCTATCTGTTTTACAATTTTTAATTACACATATACACAGAAAGAACTTAAAATCCATAGCTAAATACTCTAGTGCCTACTGCTTACATAACTTTCAGCTTATATAACACAGATTTTGAAGCATCTAAACTAATTTCAACAGGAAATGGGTTACACAACAACCAGCAGTTTGGAGGAAAGCAGCAGACAAGGGAGAAATGAAACTGTTCTTCTTTCTACATCTCCAGCCACTTTCCCATCCGTAACCTTCCCCTCTTCCTTGCTTTCAGTCTCTGAATTCTCCCGAACCCCTTCCATATCTTTGCTATCAGACTTATCTTAAAGTCCTAATCACATTCATTTTTGCTCAAAATTTCCCTGCTCCAGACAGTACAGTGAGATTTCCTGTAGGCAAAAGCCTGCCAAACTACCTCCCCAGACTTCCCACAATATGCTGCTGCCAAAATGGTTGTCTTCCACACACAAAGTGTGCTCTTCTGTCCTGCCTACCAGGCCAATCCTTCTACCTGGAATGGCGTTTCCCATTTATTCTCAATACATTCTTCAGAGCATAATACAAGTGCCGTCTTTTCCATGAAATCTTTCTTAAAGCTGAGTTGTGTAATTCAAAACTACCAGTCACAGTATGTCTGTTCACTTGAAATGTAACCAGTGGCACCTGCTGAAATATTCTGGATAAAAGTGTTTGGTAAAAAATTCTAATTTGGCTGGTCCGATGGCAGTGGGTTATCAGAACTTATTAACATTAGTGTCACTAAAGTTGGTATACCACCCCCCCCCCCACTGCTAAATTTTGTTTGTAGGGCCAGGGCCAGGGCCTACACAAGGTAGGCAAGCACTCCCCCGACCATTTTTACTTTTTGAAAAACCGCATGTGGTTCACACCTATTTCTAATGGACAGAGGAAAAATGTCCTCATAAAGCATTTCATCTGTACCTATCACAGTATCTTGAGATATTTCGTCAGTACTAAAATTATTTGTAAATATCTCAAGTTCCTTCCTATACCATGGGCTTCTTTGGGACGCATTTCCCTTAACATCCTGTACATAAATGGTATGAATAAAATATCTGCTGAATGAATCGATCCTGAAATCAAAGATAAAAATGCAAATTTTGGTAACATTCTCTCATCCCTCACATAAGACAAAGTCTTCTTCTGCATGAGCACATTAAGTCCTTGTATTTGTACCTCATTCCCTGTATATCTGGCACCTTATTTCAAAATTACTCTTCCTAAAATATCTCTTTAGTTATGCCTTCACCTTTATTCAGTAACTTTCAATAATTCCCTTTTGGTTACTTCACAAAGTCTAAACTCTAGCAGGTTTTCAAAGTCCTTCAAGCTTGGCTCTTCCTTACCTGTTACACTTTCTCATCCTTTATTCTCCAACAAGCACCTTTCCATCAGGCTGGACATCACTGCATGCCCTAAACAGTGCTCTAACACACCTGACACTGTAGCTCCCTTCTCGTGGGTGCTCTCCCATATATAGTATACTTTATGCAAACCCCATCCATCCATCTAGGGCTACAGCGTCCTGCACATGACTCAAATACAAATCATTACACAGTACACTCACTCTTTATGCTGTTCTATCTTACACAGGATGAGAGCTGTTTTACAGTTTCACACATGGGCCCTCAGAGGAAAGCTTTACATGTGCTTCACATTTAATTCCTAAAATCTCACTAAGTGCAAAACTTATGCTCAATAAAAATGTTGTTTATTGATTACTGAAAGAAACAAGAACAAAGCTACCTAGGTGTATTATAGCAGAAAGGCCACAGGACTGTGTCAACACAATCTGCTACTAAATAGTAAGAGCTTCTTAAACCTCAGTCTTCCA